AACCAGTCTTTTCACTATGTGGGAAGATGCCCAACCAACTGAGCCTCACAGGTCCAGGCAAGGTTCAGTTTTAGAAACTACTTTATACCCAGACAGTGGACATTTCTCTTTGGTACAGAAGATTAATTGCTTTTCTTCTTTTGAACCTCACATACATATTGATTAATAGCTACCAAGAATGTTGACTATGAAGTACCATAGAAACTGATCTGGGAGGGGTACTAAATATTTCTTTTTTATTTACATTTTAATTTCAATGTTTTATTCTTTGACTTTAAGTAATTTTTTTATTTTTTCAATTACAATTGACATACATTATTATATTAGTTTCAGGTGTACAACCCAGTGATTTGACATAATTTACTAAGTGATCATCCTGACAAATCTCATACCCAGTGACACCATACATAGTTATTAAAATATAACTGACTATATTCCCTATACTGTAGTTTACATCCCATGACTATTCTGTAACTACCTATTTGTATTTCTTAATCTCTTCACCTTTTTCACATCCCCCAACCACTCTCCCATCTGGCAAATATCAAAATGTTCTCTGTATCTATCTACGAGTCTGTTTCTGTTTGCTTGCTCATGTTTTTTAGATTCAGTATTGTTGACAGACATGTATTTATTGCCATTTTATTATTTGTATTTTTTATCTTTTTTCCTTCTTCTTAAAGAAGACCCTTTTTATGTAATACTGGTTGGTGGTAACAAATTCCTTAAGCTTTTTCTGTCTTGGAAGCTCTTTATATATCATTTGATTCTAAATGTTAGCTTTGCTGGATGTAGTAATCCTGGTTGTAGGTCCTTGTTTTTCATCATTTTGAATATTTCTCGCCACTCCCTTCAGGCCTGCAAAATTTTTGTTGAGAAATCAGATGGGTCTTATCAGAAGACTAACTTCTTTTCTCTTGCTGCTTTTAAGATTCTATGTCTTTAACTTTGGTATTTTTATTATGATGTGTCTTGGTGTGGCCCTCTTTGGATTGATCTTCTTTAGGACTCTTCGTCCTTCTTCAATGTGTATGTCTATTTCCTTCATCAGATTAGAGCAGTTTTCTGTCATTATTTTTTCACACAGATTTTCAATTCCTTGATCATTTTCTTCTTCTGGCACCCCATGATGCAAATATTGGTACATTTGAAGTTGTCCCGAGGCTCCTTATACGATCTTCATTCTTTGGATTCTTTTTTAAAAACTGTATTGGTTTTTTTTTAATATTTTATTTATTTATTTAGAGAGAGGGGAAGAGAGGGAGAAAGAGAGGGAGAGAAACATCATTGTGTGGTTGCCTCTCACATGGCCCCCACTGGGGATCTGGCCTGCAACCCAGGCATGTGCCCTGACTGGTAATCAAACTGGTGACTCTTTGGTTTGTAGCCCAAGCTCAATCCACTGAGCTACACTAGCCAGGGCTGTAATTTATTTATTTATTTATTTATTTATTTATTTATTTATTTATTTATTTATTTATTTATTTAGAGAAAGGAAAGGGAAGAGAGAAAGGGAAGATTTTTTGTTCCACTTATTAGTTGATTTATGTATGTACCCTTACCAAGGATGGAACCCATAACTTTGGCGTATCAGGATGACATCTAAGTAGCTGAACTATGTAACCAGAGCTGTATTTTTTTCCTTTTGTTATTCTGACTTGTTGTTGTCTGTTTCCTTATCTTCCAAATCTCTGATTTGATCTTCTGCTTCATCTACTCCACTGTTGATTCCCTGTAATGTAGTCTTCATTTCTGACTGGTTCTTTTTTGTTTTCTGGTTCAGTTTTTGTGTTTCCTATCTCACTGTTAAAGTTCTAAGTTCACCTACTCTTCCCCTAAGGTCCTTCAGCATCCTTATAACCATTGTTTTTAATTCTACATTTAGTAGATTGCTTGTTTCCATTTTGTTTAATTTGGGGGGAATTTTGTTGTTTTCATTTGGGACATGTTTCTTTGCCACATTTTGGCAGCCTCCCTGTATTTGTTTCTATGTATGAGATAGAGCTACTACATCTCTCGGGCTTGGTAGATTGGCCTTATGTAATTAGTGTCCTGTAGGGTCCAGTGTCACATCCTCCCCATTCACCTGAGCTGCAAACTGCAGGTGAACCTTCCCCCACCATGCGGGCTATGCACACCATCCTATTGTAGTTGAGCCTTGACTGCTATTGGCAAATCACTAGAAGGGATTTACCCCCAAGCCAGTTGGCTGCCAGGAGGCTGCAACAACTGACCACTGTGGAGGATCAGCTGTGTGGGGGCTCACCCCACAGACTGGACCCACCCCATAGACCAGGCCCACTCGAGCGGAGCTCTGGTGCCTACTGAGTCTTTCCCTTGAGTGTATGGCTCATGGAAGTAGTTGGGTGTTGCTCTGACATTGTCTGAAACTGTTCACTGGGTGCACTGGCTCTGGGACCTCCCAGGAGTTGTAGGCCTAGGTGGGCTGCTACTGATGTTCTGCCTGGGGTCACCCAACAGGAGCTACAAAGCGATCTGCAGGTGGCTAATACTTGTGTTGGGCTTGGAGGTGCCCAGGAGAGTCTGAGCCGCAAACCAAGGCTGCTAGTGCTAGTCTTGGGGTCACTTAGTGAGAGATATGGGACATAAAGGTCAGATGCTGCTTGTCTGAGAAATTTTAGAAAAGTCTGAAGCATGAAGTATGTTTGTATGAAAAAGCCACTGGAAACAGTTTGGGAGGGCCCAAAAGTTGGGTGAAGCAGGGTCTTGGAATCATCAGGACAGGGCTAATAGCTTTAGCCAGGTTGATGGAGATTCAGATATGGCACCCACCTGCCAGCTCCGTGGGAGGGGTTCAGGAAAGGAACAATAGACTCTGCCAGCACTTCTCTCTAGGAAAAACCTGCCCCTCCAGCTCTCACCCTGATGCCAAATAATTCAGTTCTTCCCCATGCATCCCTGGTGTCTTGAGCTGCTGCTCCAGCACTAGAGCTCAGAGTGAGTGAGTCCAAGTAAGCCGGTATGAGGTCTTTTAAGAGGAAAGCCTGGGATGCCAGAAGTCCTTCATCTCACTCAACAACAATCCATGCTGATTTTTACACCCAGAAGTTATGGAGACTTCTCTACCTGGCCCTGGAACCCTGGGCTTGGGGCCTGGTGTGGGGCTTGGACCCCTTGCTCCTCGGGGGGGACCTGTGATTCCAAGACATCCCTCTTGATTTTTATCCACCACACATGGGTGTGGGCCCACCCATTCCACATCTCTGCCCCTACCAATCTCCATGTGGCTTCTTAATATCCTTAATTGGAGGACTTCTGTTCAGCTAGATTTCAGGCACCTCTGGATAATGATTGATCTGTAGTTTAGTTGTAATTCTGATGTGGTTGTGGGAGGATGTGAGTACTGCATTTACCTACACTGCCATCTTGACCATAAGCTCAGAAATAGCATGAATTTTAAACTAAAATAGTTATGTTGCTTTTTTATATCTATACCTTCAGTATGACTTATTTCTTTAAAAACCTATCAGTTTTCATTTTTCCAACAATATTTCATAAAAATCAGACTATGAATTAATACTTGATTATGTATTAATTCATAATCTGATTTGAATCATCAAAAAAGACACATCCGCTAAAAATGTATAGTTCAGGCATGGGTGTTGGTTGATATTTTTGTTTAAGTTAACCAGTAAGACAAAAGTAAAACAGTGAAAAAGTATGTTGGAACGTCATTCATGAATTGGGTAATCGTTTTCAAATACTATTAGAATTCTCCCTCAATTTTTTGTGCTACTTACAATGTCAGGCCATGTGACGAAAAGTTTAATTCTACATTATCAATATGTTCTCCACAAGCCTGTGCCTATTTTTGTAAATAAGGCTTTGTGGGAACACAGCAACACACATTTTAAATGTTAAGAGTTCCAAGTAGTTGTGACAAAGATTATACTGGAAAACCTGAAATATTTACCATTTGGTCATTTACAGAAAAAGTTGCAGATAATTGGTCTAGAAAATCAATAAAACATAAACCAAGCCTGATTCGTAGCATTTGCCAATTTCCATGGTGTAAACATTCCTTTTGCAGCCAATTTTATGCTATAAATGTGATATCTGTTAACAGAGTTGGGAAGAGATACATATATTACACAATATTTTCTTCCTACAAATGGACAACTTCAAGAGCAAAGTTACTAGTAAAATGAAGTTTAAAAAAGTGATGAATTTTGAGTTTTTACCTGTTTTAACATATTTAACTATAAATTTATAAAATTTGATTTTTAATATGGTTATGCTTACTAAGTAGCTTATAAAATCCATGAAAAGTTAGCACGTTAGCCTTGTAAACTGGTAAAAGCCAACTGTGTGTACTACTGACTCTATTTTCTTTTTAAGTTTTAATTACTGGTATTTACTTTTAGAGAGAAGTGAAGTGAGGGAGAGAAACATCAATGTATGAAAGATATATTTATCAGTTGCCTCTCACACGCCCCCAGCTGGGGACCTGGCCCACAACCCAGGCATGTGCCCTGACTGGGAATCCAGCCAGTGACCTTTTGGTTCACAGGCTGGCGCTCAATACACTGAGCCACACCAGCCAGAGCTACTAACTCTATTTGGAAAAGGGCGCCAAGGGAGGCTTTGGGAGGGCAAGTAATTAGCCTAAGTTGGTAAGTGACTGAGTCAAGATTCAAATATAGGTCCAAAACTCTGACCCAGATAAGGCTTCTTGGTGAATAAGGGCCATTATTGACTTCTTTTTTAATTATAATTTGTAGGGGGGATATAGTGAGGTAACTCCACATACAAAGGAATGCATTTTCTTAATATTGCATACTGTTTTACTCTGTGAAAGGTTAGAGCTGTTGGAGAAGTTGGAGATTGGTCTTATCCAACTCCTTTACTTACTAAGAGGAAATTCAGGTCTACTGAGGTGACGTGACTTGATGTCAAGCGGTTGAGACTGGATTGATTTATAGCTCTTTCCACTACACAGCACGGCTTACTCTAAAATACCCACCCTGCAATGAACTTACCCCGAAATCACCAGGAACCTGGTTGGGGACTGGCCTAGTCGAGCCTAGGGCAAACCTCCCAGGTGCTCCTGAGTCAACCTGTGGTAACTCTGAGTCAGAGTTAATTAATGCCAAACTAGGGAAGCACAAAGCCCAAGGCGGTTAAGGTACGTGGATTCCTCAGCGAGCACCGTGGAGAATTAGACGCGGCCTCAGGAAAAGGAACCCCGCCTCTCACACAGCCAACACGGCACTCCGCAAAGCAACAGCGGCAGCTGCGAAGGAACGGCACGCCGCGGGTGGCGCGCACGCTCATCCCGAGGCCGCAAGGGAGGCGGGCAGGCGTGCGCGCCCTTGTGGCGGTGGGCGGGGTTCAGGGCGGGGTTTCGAGCCGGACCGGGGCGGGGCGGGGCCGCAGGAGCTGCCGGAGCTGAAGGTGCTGCTGCTAGGTCTCGACAGGTGCGCGATTCAGAGCGCCTGGGACCTGTGGCAGGGCTGAAAGCAGTGCAGAGAAAAGACCGCTTTTAGTCAGGTAAGGGCCTTCTCTTTTCATATCCTCCACAGCCGAAGAGTATGCGGAGACCTCGGCTTTCCTCCGCACCTTCTTTCTCCCCTGACTTCTAGGGCGAGGGGAGCACAAGAAGGATCCCCTTACCCTATAATGAGTGAGTGGAGGAACCGCTGATCCTCTGCTCTTTCCTCATTTTTGGGTGCTGCTCTTGGGTTGGAAGCAATTATATGGGGTTGAACCTTTGCTGCCTAGGGGCGGGAGCTGATAGGAACTCTTTTTTTTTTCTCCTAATTTATAGATTTGTTTTTTTTAGAGTGCGAGAGGGAGAGAGAGGGAGGAAGGGAGGAAAAGGGACGGAGGAAGGGTAAGAAAGAGAAACAAGTATTTGTTGCTCTACTTACTAATGCACTCATTGGTTGTTTCTTGTATATGCCCTGACCAGAGATGGAAACCTGCAACCTTGGCGTATCAGGAGGACACTCCAACCAATTGAGCTACCCACCAGGGCAAAAACACTCCTTTTTAACTATCCATATATTTTTGGTGTGGTGGAGGAAGGTGGTAGTTCATCCAAATTCAATTTCCCAGGGAAATAGTATTATGATATTCAACTGCTCTTTTCCCTTCTTCATTTTCAGTCATTCCCTCCCTCTTCTATTTTTCTGCCCTTCCATTCTGCCAGTTGAATTCTTTTTAAGACACTTATATCACTTATATCCTTTGGAGGTATGTTGAGACTATAGCAGTCCTTGAAGCTGGATGTATCATCTCCGAATCACCATCCTGTATCTATTGCTGGCACCTGTCACCAATGTACATAGCTGTTAATATAAGGTAACCTTACACCCCTGGCTACACCTACTAAACTTGAAGTTGTAGGTGCTAGGAGTAAACCATCTGGCGTCGGTCCTTGCCTCCTTCTGGTGCTTACAACAGAGTTTAGCTGATCCTGGTGAGAGATATTTGAACTACTATTGTCTTTCACTTAATTCCAGGTTTCAAAAAGCTGCCTAATCCAGATGGTTCTATCAACTTGACTTTTCTAGTTAAGATACTCAGGGAGTTATCAGCCTTTAAGACAATGCCTCTTTAGGGAAGAGGTCTTTTGCCTGAGATAGTCTTTGTTTTGCTCTTGATTTAAGTGGTTAAATGGAATACTTTTTATCTGCATAGTTTCTAATACTATTCACAAATGATAAATATTTTAGGAACTGTGAAATAACACTCTCTTCTGAGGTCTGGTATAGACACAAAAGAAATGATCCTCAATAAACATTTCTAAGTTGCTGTGGAGTTATATCATGGATGAAGGATGATCATATTTTAAAAGGTAGACTTTAAGAAGTTAGAGAGTTAGCAGAAGAGATGATTTTAAATGAAAAAAAATAAAAACAATAGAAAAACACATAACATGGCAATAGGTAATTCCTGTAGAAACTTTTTTTTGGGGGGACAAAACATTTATTGATTGCCTCCAGTTTTGTCAATCCTACTGTGGATCCAAAGTTCCAAATGTCCCTACTATAAAAGAGCTTAAAGTCAAATGGGTTAGGCAGGTCGGTGGGTGCAATGTACAGTATTAGCAAGGTCAGTGCTATACTAGAGGTCAGCCCAGAGTGCTATGGGAACATAAAGAATAGTTTATTTTTAATTCTGTCTTCTAGTCTTCCTTAAAAACAAAACAGTAAACAGTCACAATAGTAAAAAACCTTTAAGTAATAAGGTTCTCTTTAATTCATAAATTTGTATCATTCATATTTCTTACCTTGTGTTCTGTCAACATTAAGGCCTTTTGAAAATGGAATTAGGTCCTGTTGTTAATCCCTTAGCAGTTCAGTAAATGGTTGGTGGAGCTATTTTCACTGTTCTGTAATGGGCCTGGAAGTGTTGTTATCAGGCAGTCCCTGAACTGTAGAGCTACTGGGAAGAGAATAGAGTATTGGCAACATTAGTAAAGCAGTGCCATTTTGTAAAAATTGCTCCATTGCGTAACTTTGTTTAACTTGGTGCATTCAAACTTTGTTCCAGACTCTGGTTAAAAGGTGGACCAGATTTCAACCTTCTAATAATTCTAAGAAGAGAAAACTTCAGAAGTGAAAACAATTCTGTTAACAACACATCTTGGTAACAGAGGATACTTTTTTTTGCTATAAGGTGTCCTCAAAATCTTTTTCTTTCTTTTTTTCTTTGGAGGTGGGGATAGGATGGGTAGATAGGTGGAGAAGGAAAGGTCAGAAGTGTTAGGATTTTTGTAGAGTTTTGATGATCTGTAGTTAGTTACATAAATGGTGGTGGTTTTATTTGGTCATTTGAGCCACGGTACTTGTTGAGCACGTTTCTTCGACATTGTTTACGTCCTTTATTTCTGTTTACACTCTAGGAAAGTGGTCTCTACAGGAATTTTTGGAAAGGCAGCAGGTATATTTGCATGTACTTACAATTGGAACCTAAAATGATTACATTGTTTTCTTACAATGTTTTTAGGTACAGAGTTCTTCAAAGACACACAGACAAAAAAAGAATGTTGAGAGTATAGGAGATGATTAGACATGTTTACCATAAAAGGCCACCTAACCACAAATTGGGAGAATTTGTCATTATTTATGTTGACCATGAAACTAGTTTTCAGGCATTCTTAATTCCATACACTCAGAAATAGACAACTTTCATTTAGATTGGAATTGTACTCTTTCTGCAGATGGAAAAGTGTGTAACTTGGTTCTGAAGTCAGGAATTTCCCTATGAAAAGACCTTTGGTTTTTTTTAAGGTTGCTATGGTCTTTCACTGCATTTTTTTGATAGGAAGTTAAAGTACTTTATTTTGGATTGTATACAGTAATCTACAGGTGATGTTAAATTACTTCACACAGACTCTCAAGGTTCTTTAGTGACAAATGAATGGTTGTAAATTGAGTAGTTTCTGCTTAATGATTGTGGAATTAAGATTCTATGGCAAATGGTGCTCCTAGTAGGACCATACTGCTATGTTTATTTTGTGGCTGGATGTAAAGTCCTTGAGACTCAGTCAAGTTATTGAGCTTATGCAGACCTCTTTTCATGAAAAGGGCAAAGTTTGACCCAACAAGCAATTCATTATTCAGCACATCAAGTTCTTTCTTTAAACTTGAAAATATTTGTAGGGACTTAACATGTCCAGTCTTAAAAAGTTGATATGATACCATACCATTGTACTTTCTTTTTCTTTTATTTCAAATAAGTTCTTAACAATGCTACTCTAAAACTAAGAAGTTTCATATTTAGAAAAAATTCAACTTTTTTGTACTTCTGATAACATGTATGGACCTATTTTTCCCCTTATTTATCCCATAACATAGCTTACTATTTGGAGAACCTTACTATCCCTCAAATATGTTTTTTCTTGCACACCAAAGTATTGCCAATTTTTGTTTTGTTAACGCATAGATCAGTAATCCTGATATGCTTTTACTGGGTTCTAGATATCTACAATTTTTTTTCTTTCATAAACTGAAATCAAGCAAATGCTCTAGGACTTCTTTTCCTCAAGGTCAGTTTTACTAAACAGGTAACATTTGCTTAGATTTGGCTTCCACCTCCAGCACTGGAGGAGATCTGTCTGTCTATACATAGTACCCAGTGATTTCCCCGTAATGGCCCTGTCACTGTCCTCCTTACCATTTGGCAGCATTTGACCAAGAGGACAACTTTTCTGGTTCTCCCTTTCATTTGGCTTTCTCCATGTGACTGTACCTCGGTCTCCATCTTCTGAGCAAACCACTTCTTCCAATGTCCTTCCCTAATTCATTGTCTTTTTGCCCCTTAAAAGTGGGTGTGTGCTGTGGTCCTGTCCAGCATCTTATTCTCAGTATACCATCTCCCTGTGCAATTTGATCTGCCTTAACACCTCCATGTGAGTGATTTGCAAATTTGTCTTTTTAGAAAACTGTTTTCATATTATATACATAAATTCTTGTTTTGTTTGCATATATAAAACATACACATTTAGAAAATAAGTACAGATACTAATTATAGAAAACCTGGGAAAATTAATGATAAAGAATATAAAATATTTCATAATCTGTTCCAGACAGAAATATAATTTGATATATTTCCTTCTAGTCTTTTTTTATTTGGTACACACCCTAACAAACACACAGGTAATGGGGCTCATAGTATTATAGTAGGTATAGTTTTGTATCTCTTTTTTTTCACTTTACATTATGTCATAATTTTTCATTGCATCAAAATCATTTGAACACAATTTAGTGGATGTTTAATAATACCATATTGTATTGATGTTGCATAATTAAATTGTGCAGTTGGGAATTTTGATTGTTACATTATTAATAACTGAAAAAATTGAGGCTAAGTTTATGCATAATTTTTGTACAGATCACTCATTCTTCCCTTAGGTTAGATTCCTTCAAGTTGAATTACTAGGTCAAAAGGCATGCAAATTTAAAAATACAGAACTTCCAAATTGCTTTTCATAAAGACCAGACTGACATTCTCACCTGCAGGGATTCTGAATGCCCATTTTAGTGGATTCTTTGTAACATTGAATATTATTTGTAATCTTTACTAATTTGATAAGGGAGATTTGATTTTTTAAAAATTATTTGTGAGCAAATACTTTTCATACGCTCATTTCAATTTCTTTCGTGAATTGCAACTTGTTCAGTCCATTCTAATTTTTATTTCAGTCTTAACATTTTAATTATGTTGTTTTTCTTTCTGGAGTTCTTTCATTTATTTTGGTGAGGGGAGTGGGGGGAGTATAGTTTTTATTAGGCCAAACTGAATAAGTGGAGTAACAGAGTAGAAAGTGTACAAGAAGTTTCACTTGTGGTGTTCTAAATGCCCATTGTTGTGAGAAGCCGGATTGTGACTGATGAAACAGCATTGCACAACGGGGAGGGTGCTGGCCTGAGAGTCAGGATTCCCACCTTGGTGCTGGAAACCAACCATTTAGGTTATCTTGGGTAAGTCATTCATCCTTTCTGAGCTTTATCTGTAAAATGAGAGGGCTAAGCTCTTGATCC